CCCTGACTTAGCCCAGGGGACTTCTCGAGTCCTACCTGCCGCCAGCTTTCGTAGCCTCTCTGGCCTTTCCATCTGTTTGGCACACAGTGCGGATGGATGGTCCCTTAGATGCTGCAAGCCCATGGTTCTATCCTTTTAGGGCACTGTTCTCTTCTGGTTCTCTTTGTTTCTCTTTCATGTGTTGTAATTTTATTTTAAGCTTAAACCCAATAATATACTCAAAGGGAGGTGTCAGTTTAGACTTCTTGGCTTCTGTATGTCAGAAACCAGTTCTAAGCCCCTCAGGCAGAGTGGGGATTCCCTTGGCCTAGAGGCCGTGGACGAGTAAGTGAAGACTAGTTCTTGGGACCTGGAGTCAGCAGGCGCCTCTCTGCTCTGCTCCCCCAGTTCTCACGGATGAACCGTGTTTACTACAAGCGACCGCTGCTTCCCCAGCTACTGGTAGAATATCCAAGGGAAGGGCTTTGATTGGCTGGTTGTGATCTTGGTCTCACATGAGAGTCCTGGGAGAAGTTGGGGCTCAGTGACAGCCCCATGAGAACCCCAAGTTGACGTAGGGGAGGCAGTTCACAGCGAGGCAGGCACTCTCAGGAGAGGTTAAATAATAAGGGTCCCTACTAGGGTACTTCGGGCTCCAGGAGAGGGGCTTGTAAAATCAGACAAGGCGTTGGTCTCGGAGCCCCTCCTGCATATCATGACCTATTGTAGGGATGGGGACTGGATGGTGACCAGGTTGAGGAAAGTCTCTGCTCTGGGCGCTGACATCTAGAGGCAGAATATTGTCATCTTTATTCTCGTCATGGTAACGCATTGTCAGCAACAGTCACTGTTGCTGCAGTTGCCGAGCCAGGTGGCAGCCTGGGCTGGAGCATTAGGGCTGTGGCGGCGCTTCCTTCCTTTGTGTCTGAATTGGGGTCCTGGAGCTGAGCCTGACAGCCTCGCGATTCTTCCAGGGGCCTCCATTTCCATCCCCTCCCCTGTCTGCAGCTTTTTCAGAGCAAGTCTCAGGACAGGGGCTGATGTGTGCTCTGTGTGCAGTGCGACCCTTCGTAGTTGCTTCCGCAGTCTTTCCTGCAACAGGATGGTGTATAAATGACCACGCAGGGTGGGCGGTGGTGAGGCACCCTGGTTAGAGGTGACCTTCTCGAGACTCCTGTTGAAGCCTGTCCCCGTGACCCTGAGACTTTCACCCTGAGCTCTCTCTCCTTCCATTCACCAGATGTTCATTGAGCACCTACTCTGTACTAGGCTTTGTTGCAGGTGCCAAAGATGCACTGACTAAAACAGTCAAGGTCTCTGCCCTCGTGGCGCGTGTTCTGGGCGTAGTAGGGTGGATGGTAACTTCTGTGGACAGAAACTAGTCAGGGTAACTGGCCTCATATCTAATAATTGTACAAAGGTGTAAATACCAAAGCTTCTAGAAGAAAATGCAGTACCTCTGTGACCTTGGAGTATGCAAATATTTCTCTAACAGGACAGGAGAAATACCAAGTATAAAAGGAAATATTGATTAATTAGGCTTGGAGTAAAACTAAGACCTATGTACCACAAGACCATCCGGGACGAGGAAGACACGCCACACGCTGGAGATGGGGTTTGCAATAAACGTGTCCCACGGAGCACTTCCGGGCAAAGCAAAGACATGAACGGGTGTGCCTCACAGAGGCTGCCGGCCCATCGCGCACCTGTGAAAAGGTGCGCAGCTTCAGCTCATCAGGAAAGCGTGAATCAAAACCTCCGGGAGATGGCAGTTCCCACCTGAGGTGTAGAGCAGCCGCATTGAGGAGGAGCGACGGGAGCAAGCGTGGCTGCAGAGGACCGGGATGGCCCGCCTGCTGCTGGAGGGGTGGACGCAGCCTGAGTGTCCCCGGCCCTGGGACCACGCACTTCTGCCCCCAGGTCAATTCCCATGATGATACGAGCCAAGCAGCCAGACACGTGTCCACAGCCACTTGTTTTGTGTAGCAGCCAAGACCAAACAGCCTGAGTGCCCCTCAACCACAGATGGGCAAGCGGACTGCGGGGGTTGCCTGCCCTGGGCCATGAAGCCGTTGTCTGAACTGTGGGCCGCTGCTCCACGCGCCACGGGTAAATCTGGCGGTCAGGTGTGCTGCCAGGCCTGGCGACCCACCCGCCCCCCGTGATCCTGTAACATCAAGAAGAGGCCAAGCTCAGCCAGTGACAAAAGTCAAGGAAGCTCACAGGAGCCTTGGGCACCTCAGAGAGCTGAGTGCTGAAGATTTGTACCTTTGTCTTACAGCTCAAGTGTCCTTTGTTACTAAGAGATGTGCGGCCAACGTGGGCAGATGTCAGGACACTCAGAGGAGGGGCGGCATTGGTGCTGAGGTGAAGGCGGGAGCCTGGGTTTCTTGGGGGGACGGCGACATTGTGGGCCCTGAGGGTGGCTGTGAGGGATGCTGGCCGGCCGGTGGCCATGGCCAGCCCGTCCAGGAGGACCTTGGCGTTATTCCCAGGAGGTGGGGAGCATGGGGCGCGCACCTCTAACACAGAGGAGGTGGGTGAGCCAGCCTGGATAGCCCATGGCCCCAAGCTGATCGCAGTGGCCCCTGGTGTGTTTAGGGGACTCTCCAGGGGACTGCTGAGCAATTAAAATCTTGTATCGGTGACTGTCCAAGAGGCCTTGACTGTCTGGAAAATGACAGTTCTGTCCCCTTGGTCCTCGTGCCCTGTCCCTCCCTCACACCCAGGTCGAGGCCGTTTGCACGCAGACTTTGCTGCAGCTGAGAAGGGTCGTCGGGCCAGGTGGCTGGACGGGCCTTTATTCCTCAAAGACTCAGTTCCCCCAAAGGTACATTGGAGGAGGCTCTGTTTCTATGCTCTCAAACAATTTCTTAGGCTGAGAGAGGAGAGGGTTTTATTCCTAAACTTTCTGCTGTATGAACTTTCACTATAGAGTCCTGCTTCAGGAGCTTCCTGGAGGGTCACATGGACCCCTGAGGCCGGCCACCTGTGTGGATGTCACAACGAGGTGCATGGCCAGGCTCACCTGGCACTGGCACTGCGAGCAGGACTTTTGAAGCTGGCAGTCTGCACCCTTCAGTGGGTTGTGAAATGAATTTGGGGGTCCCAGCTGGCGTTGGCCAGCGAGATGGAGTAGAAATCAGAGTCCTTTGCACTTTGCAAGGGAGAGTGTTGCTCCACACAGTTTGTTACTTTACGCCTGTGGGCGCGAGCCCTGGGTCAGAGTGTAAAGTGCTGTTCTCCCCAGCGCCGTGCCAGCGTGTCGGATGACGCTGCTGGGAGGAAGGTGCGCTCTTTGGTGTTTCGTCTGGTTGCGTGTGGCCAAACCACCCACCAGCCTGTTCGTGAGAAAAAGGAAGCCTGTGCCTCCAGGGACCGCTCCCTGGCCGGAATGACAGCCTGAGAGTGGCATGCCCTCCCTTCTCTGTGACAGCTGGACCTGGCAACAGGATACGCTGAAAGGAAGGAAGGCAGGATGCTGCCACTTGCTGGCATCCCCGCGTGACGTGGAAAGGAAGGCGAGGTGGGCTGTGTCCAGCCAGGACAGGCTGAACTTTTGCCTCAGTTCCCTCATCACAACAATTAGGTTAACAGGATGTGGTGAGAACCCGTGTTAAACTGTGTCTGGCCCAGAGCAAGGGCCGAGCCGTGATTGTGCGAGGCAACTGGGCAGGGACTGCGCACCAGCCCCTGTGTCTCGGGCCAGGGGCCTGCTATACAATGTGTAAAAACCCCAAGTGAACAAACGCCTCCAGAGATCCCAGCTGGGAACAGCCTCGGGGAGGCAGCCTGACCAGGCTGTTCCTTACGGCCATTACGAAATTGGGGCATCCCGCGCCAAAACCCAAAAAGCTGTCGTCGTCGCTGCGGTCTTCCAGAACAGTAAACAAAAACTGGAACGGAGTGCCACAGTGGGATGGAGCTGGGGGGCTGCTCTGTCCTTTGAGAATTCTGTTGAAAAGGAAAGAAGTGAAACCGAAGGGGCTCGCCAGCCCGCTGGCGGCGCTGGGCTGGCGGTCTCTGAGACGTGACTGAAAGGCCTGCGTGGTGGGGCAGCCGGGGCAGCGGAGCGGGTCACAGCAGGACCTGGATGAAACCGCGGCCAGAACGTGGAGGGGCTTGGGTGAAGAGAGGGGACCTGGAGAACAGGATCACCACCAGGTCACCAGACCCCTGGACGGTGGCCCTGGTCCTCTGCTGTCCGCTTCTGAGGGCTCAGCAGGACCTTGGGGCAGGGCAGGTCCCTGAGACAGAGCCGCCGTCCTCACGGGACACAGCAGGGGACGCTGGCCCAGTGCGCGTCGTTCTCTCCCTGGTCTTGAGGCGTTCCGGCAGACCCCAGAGAGCTGTCGCCTCTGAGCTCCTGTCCCCAGCACTGTCAGGCTCGGGTGCGGCACAACCTGCAGGCCCAGTTCAGGTTCCTCCGAAAGTGAGACCCAGCAGTGGGCGCGGGGGGCCCAGTCACCTGTCATGGCCACACATGGCATGTCCTCCCTCTGCTCCCTTGGGGAAAACAAGTGCTTTATTAGTGACAAGAACTAGAAAACTGCTTTTGTCTTTCATTAATGTCTTGCTGGGGGACATCTTTTCTCCTGGGTTTTTGCTAAATTCTCTGAAGTTCACTGCTCCTAAGTGCGGCCTGCAAGAGATACCCAACATGCTTGCAGAAGATCCTCTGCTCCTGCAAATGCCGGCACTCAGCAACCCCAGCACGAGCAGACTGCGTTCTCCGTTGTGCACAGTCACGATCTTTCCGGTGCCGAGGCTTTTGCTTTTAGGGGCATGTGGGCTGAGGGGGTCAGGGAAGTTGGGTGAGCACAGTCTTGATGGAGATGCATCCCTGGCCTCTCCATGCATGGCTGCCTCAGGAATGTTCTAGAACTCTCAAGACAGCACATGTGCAGAAAATATCTCTTGAGTCAGCTTTGACTTTCTCACCCTGTTATCAAATAGTGCGGGGGGGGGCGCTCCCCCAGTTGGCAGGGCCTGTAAGTGATGCCCACCATGTCCCCTTACAGTAGTAGTGGACGTCAGCTCAGCGAGGTGTTCATCCAGCTGCCCTCCCGCAAGGAGCTGCCCGAGTATTACGAGCTCATCCGCAAACCTGTGGACTTCAAGAAGATAAAGGTAACCCCGGAGTGGGGGAGGGGCTCTCACAGGGATGTGCCCACATCGGCGTTTGGGGGAATTTGACCCAAGACCTTGGGCCCCCTGACTGGGGACCTCATCATTGGCTCCTGGGGTTCCTCATGGCCTCAAGTGTCCCCAGGATGTGTCGCCAGGGCTCCTTCAGGGTTACCCACAGCTCAGGTCAGGCCTCAGTCTTGTGGTCTTTGTGTTCAGTGGGTCTGGACTTCCAAGTCTGTACAGAGGAACCCGGAGACTGGGCTGTGACCTTGTTGAGCAGAGGGACTCCCACCTCCAGGGCCCCAGGCGCGAGGTGGGGCCCGAGGTAAGGCTGCTTCTCTGGCCACCCGCAGGAGCGCATCCGCAACCACAAGTACCGCAGCCTCAACGATTTGGAGAAGGACGTCATGCTGCTGTGCCAGAACGCGCAGACCTTCAACCTGGAGGGCTCCCTGGTGAGGAGGCGCGCGTCCGCAGCCCGGCTGCCCTCACAGCTGGGCCCCACACTCGCATGCCCCTTGCTCCCTTTTGAATGGACTGGGTTGAAAATAATTCCCAACAACTTGGAGTATTTTACTAATTATAAAAGCAGAATGTGTTCATTACTGAAAAAAGGGGCAGAAGATAAAGACAAGTAAAATAGAAAAAGTAGAGTCTGTCTCATCCATCTAGGATGGCCCTGCGGACAATTTGTGTGTATCTTAGGATTTTATTTTGAATTCAGTAGGGGACTCTCTTGAAAGGAATCCTGTGGTGTGCGCTTGCCTGTGATGAAAGGAACACAGACAGTCTCAGACTAGCAAAGAGCTCCCCAGGGTGTTTGGGATATAGGTGACTCCTGAGGACGTTTGTGTGGGAACGTCTCATAACCCTGATGGTCTCCCGGGCACTGCTGAGGAAAGGACTGCTGAGCTGTCCCTCTGTCCCACACGGGCCGCGCTGGCCAGGGCTGGGCTGGGCTGGGGAGGAGTGCGCCGGCATTCCCCGCCCCCGGCCTGAGCCCGCTCGATCCCCACATGTTTCTGCCCAGATCTACGAAGACTCCATTGTCCTGCAGTCCGTTTTCACCAGTGTGCGCCAGAAAATAGAGAAAGAGGATGACAGTGAAGGCGAGGAGAGTGAGGAGGAAGAAGAGGGCGAGGAGGAAGGCTCGGAGTCTGAGTGTGAGTCCTGGGGTGCCTGGGGGGCAGTGGCTGTGGCTTCCCGGACTGTCGGGATCTCAGGGTTCACACCTGCCTGCGAGAACCAACGGCCTCGCAGCCCCGTCTGTCCGCAACCCGCGCAGCTGAGGAGGCACCGAGCTCTCCCGGGCTCATGTCTGCTTCTCCCCCTTTCTCTGACCCCCACCCCAGCCCGCTCAGTCAAAGTGAAGATCAAGCTGGGCCGGAAGGAGAAGGCGCAGGATCGGCTGAAGGCGGGCCGGCGGCGGCCAAGCCGTGGGTCCCGGGCCAAGCCAGTGGTGAGTGACGATGACAGTGAGGAGGAGCAGGAAGAGGTAAGGCCCCAGGGACCTGGGACGAACGGGAGCAGGTGGCTAGTAGCAGTTGGGTCATTGGAAGTTCATTCTGTTGCCAGGTCCTGGATCCTTACACCATGGTCCCTGTGAGGGTAGATGCTTTCACACCCCGACTCCACAGATGGGAAACTGGGGCTCAGCGGCACGTGGCTTGTACCTCAAGCCCAAGTCCATGTGATGGTAGAACCAGTGCTCTACCATTAGAACCAGTGGGCGCCCAGGGGACAGAGTGGTTGTCCCTGGCCGTTCACTCTGCACAGCTGCCTGCCCAGGACCCCAGGGCTGTGCTGGCACGGCCCGAGGTGGGGCCAGGTCTTCGTTGAGCTCGGCAGCAGGAGACCGCCCCTCCATACAGCCCCTGTCCCTTCAGCATCTGTCTGCCCCAGGCAGACACACTGCCTTGCCATCCAGTCAGCTGTCACAGTGTCCGCGTCCCATGTGACACATACCATGCGCCAGGCCTCTGCTCACGACTCTGTTCTGGCCTGCCTAGAAGGATTTCCTAATAACACTAGTGGGTTAAATAAACAAAAAACAAAATCCCTGGTTCCACAGTTACAAAACAACATGGAGCAAACACTGTGAATGGGGCCAGTGCTTATCCCTGGTCACAGGCTGCGGTCCCCACACACTGGGGAGAAGCTTCAGGCTTGTCAAGCGCACAGTGGGCAGTTTTGGAGGTGTGGGGGGCAGGAGCAGACCCACTAGCTGGGTTCAAATACACTGTACCCTCTCGTCCCAGGCCCAACACCTGGCCCGTCCCCGCTCCGGGGCCTGGCCAGCCCACTTCACTTCCTAGCCTCTCCTACAAAGCGGGGAGGTGGGCCGGACTAGGGGCCAGGCCCTTGGCCAAGCCCAGTGAGCACCATTTTGGTGGTGGTCTTCTGTAGCCATTTGGAATCACAGCAAAACTGCGTGCCTTGGAATAAATCTGACCAAAGACACATGACATCATGAGGGTGTCAGTGACATCCTGACCACGGGGAGGAGGTCTGGGCTACAGCGCCGCCCCCTCTGCGCAGTCCGGGTCCAACCGGGCATTTCATAGCCCTTGCCAAGCTGTTTAAAGTGTGTAAACTGAAGGGCGAAAATCTTCATGGTCAGGAACTGCTGAGGTGATTTGTTTCGAAGCCCAAGGTCAGGGACATGGGGCAGAGCAGACAGCACTGGGGTGGAGCAGGGAGGGCACAGGGGGCCTCCCAGATCCCAAGGAAGAGGCAGTGTGGGCCCAGGGGCCAGTCCTCAGGAGGAGGACGATGCTGGGGCGTGGCCTGGCAGAAGGGGCTACGGCCCGTCCCCATCCAACCTCGCTGCGCCTGTGCTGCTCACACCGCCCCACCTCCACCCCCAGGAAGGCAGTCCCATCACCCGGCGCAGCGTCTCCGTCTCAGGGTCCCCTCGAGGGTGCTGACTCCTGCTCTGTCCTCCTGTCCCCCCTCCAGGATCGCTCAGGAAGTGGCAGCGAAGAAGACTGAACCTGACATTCCAGAGTCTCGACCGTGAGCCCCCTCGTCCCAGAGCCGAGGCAGCATAGCCCTTAGCAGTAACGGGTAGCAGCAGATGTAGTTTCAGACATGGAGTAAACTGTATAAACGAAAACCTTCCATATTTATACGGCAGAGAAGATGTAGGACTGTTTGTGTCTGGTCCTGTCCTGGCATCAGTAGCGTTCGTTAACAGCATTAACTGTTTAAAATGACAAAAAAGAATTATGAATTGAGGAACACACGACACCTGTTTTTCTTTTCCTTCCCTGGCAGTACTGTTGCGGCCGCAGTTTGGAATCACTGTAGTTTAAGCCGTGGATGCATGTGTGTAGCCGTCCACTCCTTGTACTGTATTTTATTGGACAGGTCACGCTCGCCGGGGCCCAGGGTCCGCAGGCCCGGCGGGGGTATGTCAGTGTCACTGGATGTCAAACAGTAATAAATTAAACCAACAACAAAACTTGTAACCTTGCTTTCTTCTGGTGGACTCGTTCCCCGCTCCCGGTGTATCGGCAGCGCAAAGTCCGGGCAGCCTGCGTACGGCCTCATGTCCCCCTGCCCCACAGGGCGCCAGCGGCTGGGTCCCTTTCCGGCCTGCAGCCAAGGTGGGATAAGGGGGGTGGTCACGTAAACAGGCAGGGGCCAGAACAACAGAGCGGTCAGTGCCGTGACGCAAGAAGGCCAGGGCCCGGGGGCGCCCGTGAGCAGGGAGGGCTTCCAAGTTCAGAACTTACTTTAGGCTTTTTTCCCTGCCTGTGTCATTGTTGTCATTCTTGCCTTTAATTCTTCAAGCACGGCTTCTTTTAGTACTTTGAACGTATTGATAATGGCTGTTTTGAAGTCCAACATCTGGACCCCCTCAGAGGAAGTTTCTGTTGACTGCTTTTTTCATCAGCGTAGGTCACACTTTCCTGTTCCTTTGCATGTCTCTAAATGTTTTTGTTCTAAAATGGACATTTTAAAAATAGTAGATTGTAACAACTCTGAATTCCAGTTTCTCCCATGGGGAGCTGGGGTGTTTGGTTTTGTTCTTTGTTTAGTTACTGCTGAACTAACTGTAATCTCTGTCTCCCCCACGGTGTGCAGCAAATGACTCTGCTCAGTTTTTGTTTCCAATTCCTTATTTTTAATCTGGCTTCCTCTAGGAGTCACACTGGTCAGCCCAGCTTCGAGATCAGCCAGCGACGGCTCCGAGGCGGTGCTCGGACACCTGAGCCAGCGATACCCCATGCCAGTGGCTGGGGCTGGGGCATTATGCAAGTCAGACCTACCTTTGCTCCCTGCCTGTGCCTCTTGTGTTTTCTCAGCACCCGGCCCGCCTTTGAGCAAGTCGCGTAGATTTGTGGGTTGCTGGGGCCCCCTCCAGCTCTCCCGAGCGTGCGTGCAGACCCTCGGGATGTGTGGGGCCGGCTGAGGCTGTCTCGTTCCCTGTGCTTCCTGCCTGCATTTATCAATCTGTTGCAACCAGGATCCCCACCTCAAGCCAGTTAGGAGACCTTGGCTTTGCCCCTTCATTCTACTCTGAGATCCCCACTGTTTCCAGTATCTGCAAGTCCACATCAGGTCACCCCTCCAGCAGTGACTTTTATGGCGGTGGAAAGGAGCCAAGGAGGCCCAAGTGGGCAAGGTGGTGGGGGGGGCAACCCCAAGCAAAAAGTCACAACCTCCGGTTGCTCTGCCGTTCAGCCTGCTTTCTTGAATAAACAGTTTGTCAGTTGCCTTTGATAAGCCTCCAGGATCCTGGTGTGGTGGTTTTTGATACTAAGGGATGAGATTTGCCAAGAGTCTTGCACTATCATTTGGGAAGTCCACGTTGTTTGTTAATAGCTTTGACTTTATTTTAATATATTTGAATTTATTTTAATTTTTACCAAAAAAAAAAATGAGTTCACCAAACACTTGATTTCACACTGTTCAGGATGAGGCCAGTTTAAAAATGAGTCCCTTGAGAGGGGGAAAGGTACACTTGGAACTTGAAAATGAGAAAAATATGATGTCGTTTGTTGGTGAATGGCAGCAAAATTCTTAATACCGACAAGTTAGATATGAGTTCATATCTGTCATGTCAGAGTCTGGAGTTGGTGCCTGAAAGTGCTGGAGAACAGCGCCTGTCTTGCTGCCTCACTGTGTGCCACCCTCATGTCCAAGGTTGCCTCATGGCCCAAGGTGGCTGCATGGGCTCCATCTACCCATCCCACATTTCCAGATGTCAACAAGGAGGCAAGTGCGGGGCACAAGGGCCTGCTCCACTGCAGCCTTTAGAGACGCCCTCTGGCCCTGCTACTTCTAGGCTGTGTGGCCTTGGGCAGCTCTCTGCACCTCAGCCCACCGGGAGACAGAAAAAAACAAAAGATGTTCAGGACGGTTTCTACGTCTTCAGGCATTTCTGTATGTCCTACTGTGACAATGAAAAGGGGGGGGGGGGTGTTTTTTTTTTTTTTTTTTTTGAGAAAAATGTGAAGGGACTCGGGCCCTGGTCGGGTGGCCCAGTCAGCGGGAGCATCGGCCTGTACACCAAAAGGTTGTGGGTTAGATTTCTGGTCAGGGCACGTTACCTAGGTTATGGGTTCATTCCCCAGGCTCCCTCTCTAAAATCAATAAGCATATCCTCTGGTGAGGATTTAAAAATAAAAGAATTAACAGGAAGAATTACTTTGGCTGAGCATCCACATGTGCAAAGCCAAGTTTCATGGTGTCCCAGGGACACGTGGGCTTGGGCCCTGGGGAGAGGTCAGGGCTGTAGGCCCCCTAGCCTGGCTCTCCTGTGTCAACCTTGGCCTGAGGTCCTGGAACCAGCCTCATGTGGACACTGGCTACGAAGCAGGGGCCTCTCCTGCTCCCGGTAACGGCTGCCCGCTGCCTCCCTCAACCCCCACCAGCCTTTGCTCTCAGCACCCACCTGTCTGGTTGGCCCTTCCATCTCCGCCCTGCTGGTCAGTGCCCTCCTCCTCCATTTTTCCTACCCACACTGAAGGGTGGGGGGCTTCATTCTTATTTCACAGATGATACAAGTGGGACTCAGAAAGTTTGAGGCTCTTTCCCAAGACCACACAGATTGGAGGTCACACTTGTGAGCCACAAAGTCCTCAGGGGCCAGGACCGGCGCTGGGTGTGGAGGAAAGGCCCTGGTCCCGCAGAGGGAAAGGCCCCGCGGCAAGGCTGGTCGGCAGAGCAGTGGAGTGCAGGCCTCTGATCGGGGGAAGGTGGAGACGTTAAGTCGTGGGCTGCGATTTCCATGGAATGGTTTAAGGCTGAAACGCCAGATGTCAGGGCAAAGCAGGAGCCCAGGGACCGCAGCTGGGACTGCGACGGGGTGGTCCAGAAGACTGGGACTAAATACGTGACAGGGTGCCGCCGCCACCTCTCCCATCCCACCTGCAGCTCTAGAACCTTGGGACTCCCCTCATCAACACACAGAGTCTGTCTGTCTGTCTGTCTGTCTGTATTTTTGCTTAATCTCTTCACCTTTTTCACCCAACCCTCCTACCCCCTCCTGACAGCTGTCAGTCTTTCTATTTGGTTTGCTAGTTTATTTTGTTCATTAGATTCCATGTATAAGTGAAATCACATTGCACTTGTCTTTCTCTGGCTGGCTTATTTCACTTAGCGTAATAGTCTCCAGGTCCATCCATGCTGTTGCAAAAGGTAAGATTTCCTTCTTTTTACAGTCAAGTAGTGTTCCATTGTGTAAATGTACCACAGCTTTGTTATCCACTCATCTACTGATGGGCACTGACGCTGTTTCCAGATCTTGGCTATTGTAAAAAAAAAAATCTGCAGTGAACAAAGGGGCGCATATATTCCTTAAAATTAGTGTTTTAGGATTCTAGGTATATTCCCAGAAGCAGAATTGCTGGGTCATAAGGCAGTTTCATTTTTCATTTTTTGAGGAAACTCCATACTGTTTTCTACAGTGGCTGCACCAGTCTGCATTCCCGATTTCATCCCGGGACTTTGTTTTGGGGCTCACCAGTCACCAGTGGACAGCAGTGGAAGTGACACTGTAACTGCTAAGAGGGGGTCATACGAGGCACCGCAGTGTCCACCTTACTTGTTGGAACACTCGAAGCCACCAGCTGCCATGAAACAGCCCCATTCCCTGGAAGCCTGCACGTTACAGGAAGCCCAAACGCGACGGTGCTGAGGGACCGCCCAGACCACATGAAGAGGCGGCCGGCCAACCTCTGGCCACTGTGGCGCCCTCCGCTCACCGTGCGCGCCCAGCTACTGCCGTCCTTCCCACACTCCTGACTCAGAAACCATGGGAGAAAAGGAAGCGTTGTTTTAAGCCACTAGGCTGTTGAGTGATTTTTTAAGCAGCGACAGTAACTGGAACATCTGAAACAATGACACAAGTCTAATTAAACTTACGTGGAGGATCTTTAGAACAGTGTTTTAAGGCTAGAAAAGCAAAGTGCACAATGAAATGTGCAGCAAGATACCATTTTGGGTGCGCACACACGATCCTGGATATTTGCTTTGAATCCTGTTGCTGCTGTGTAAATGTTTAGAGAAAGGTCTTATCAGAATACACTCCAAACACACCACATCCCAAAGCGCTGTTCCCCGTGGGGCAAAGGACAAGAGGATGGAGTTGGGAGCTGCTCCCAGCTGGTGAGGTCCTGGACACAGGTTCCCACATTTTAAGAACCATTTCTAGATTCCTCGCCTGTGTTTAATTCAACAGAATAGCTGGGTTTTAGATGATGCCATTGTTTCAAAGATTTCTGCTGCAGCAAGGTCGCGTGTAACTTCGGAACACTAGTACTTAGGGAGTGGCCAGAGCCCAACTCATTGCGCTCCACCCACACCTGACTGAGCTCCTTGTCTCCACCTCACAGGTGGTCCCATCAGCCCCCGGCAATTCAACTCAGCTGGTCGTCCCTTTCCCTCGGGCTCCACCATCCAGTCAGAGCCCCGGCTCAGCCCGTTCTCCTGTGACTCTAAACTTGAATCCATCCAACTCTCCTTCATCCTTGACCCTCACCTGAGTCACTGCCGCCACTGCCGGCCTGGACCAGTGGGGTCAGCTCCTCCCTGGGTCTCCAGCTTCCACCCTCATTTGCTGCCAGGCTGTTTATTTCACGTGTCCAGGGGCTTCTAGACTATTGCAATTCCTGAGTTCATGTGGGGCCCTGATTATCTGAGCCTGGCATCTCTCCAGACAAATCACTCTAAACCTAAGCCACACTGGTATTTTACACCGCAGACTTCCAGGCATTTGCCGGTGAGTGTCCCTCTTCCCACAATGCCTCGCCTGGTCCATCTTCCCCTGAGCCTCATCTCAAATGTCACTCTCCTGCCTTCTTGTCTTTGTTGACAGTCTGGGGGAGGCAGCATGTAGGCCCCCCTAAAAGAATCCTGCAAAGGTGTGTTTCCCAAGCATATTTCATGACATCCATGAAGGCTTGTTGATAAGTAACAAATGGAAGAGGGTTGGGAAAGATG